TGGATAATATGTGCATTCAACACAGATATAATAGAAAAAAAATATACAGTAAAACCTGTCTATGGCAACCACCCACGGTTCCATCAAAAAGTGGTCTTTTAGACAGGTGGTCGTCCAATACAGGTGGTGCTGTAATACCCTATTTCCGTACATAATTTGCGCACTTTTTAGCCATTTCTACTAAGCAAAACTCGAGACAAGCAAAAATAAGCGAATTTTTTCAACGATAGGGCTATATTGGTATTGTATTTTATTCTTATCGAATAACCCAATTTACAGGAGTCATCATGATATTATAAGACAGATTTAACACCAATATTTTAAACATTAATACAATAGTCGCATTTTCTCAATTATAATGCACACTTTCTTTTTTCTGACTTAATTAATTTGACTCAGTTCTTTGCGTTCGCTCCTCAGTTAAGTGTATTACGTCATCAATATACAAGCGCATCCTATCTCTCCATCACTTTGCTTTTGGTTTTCGTTAGTTTAATCTTATTTTAACTTTAAAAATACTGTATTTTTTAATATTTAATATTTTCTTAATTAATTAAGTACAATAAGAAAAATTATTAATTAATAATAAAACGATTTTATTATTTTTTCTCATTATACGATTTCATTACAATCGCGGAATCGAAAAAGGAAGTAAAACTGATTTTTGCATTAATGCGTTTATTGTTTTTTGAATATTTTGCCTGCGAAAATTACTTGGATATTATTTTTCTAAAAATATCGTGGAAATAAGGTAGGTTGATACAGAAACTATTTATCGCACGTGTACTGTATATGAGCTTCAAAATAAATAAATAAAAATAGATTTTATCAAACGATGAGATCAGCCGATTAATTGTATCGTGTACAATATTTTACACCCCAAGGAAAATACTAAGTCTAAGGTAAAATAAATTTTGTTTTCCCAGTTAAACTTCATCGCTAATTGCTGTTGTGATAACTTTAATATGATCTTTTAACGACAGCACTTTGCATTTCGGACATTTTCCAACAAACTGAAATGAATTTCCTTTGTTGTTAGTCTAATTTATTAACACCTGCACCTAATTTCAAGGATGTGAGAAGTGCCCGGGATGGGTTCGAACGAGAGTTTAGACTAATTCATTATATTAGGACGTGGAAACGTTGTTGAGATGGGTTCTTACAATAGTTTAGACCAGATACATTCACGAAAGTGGTCGCTTATTACAGTTGTTGTATGTTGTTTCGGACCAAAAATTGATGCCCGCGGTCGCATTACACAGGTGGTCGTTTAATACAGGTAACTTATACGAAGACTCCATGGATAAACTATTCTGTGCCAGAAATTTTTGTCTGTTTTGACAGGTGCCTGTCGAATGTAGGTGGTTGCCTAAGCAGTTTTCACTATATATATATATATATTTGAGATTTTCAAATACTATTCTTTTTATCTGTGTTCTCATACTGCTGGATGACAAAAGAAGTTGGTCCATCAAAATCCATACCTCCCACGTGGTGCTTGTAATCTATGCATACCTTAGGTTTTTGTCTTTCAGTATTTTTTCTTGTATTCATCATCTGCATGGTATCATTATGAGTTGTACTCATTACCAACACCTCTTTCGTATAACACCATTTCATAAACATCAATATCTGTACAAAACTGCCATCTCCCCTTTTTTCAGCTTAGCTGCTACAACCTCTTTTGACAATTCTTTCTTGTTTTTTTCTTACAGTTCTGATCACACTGGTCTGATGAGTTACAAGTTAATCAAACAGATAAACACTAAAATAATAGTTGTCTATCCCTAAGCAGTAGTCCTTATCCAAAAACTCTTCCATTAAGGATAATACTATATTAGTTTAGTGATTTTGTTTTGATGAGTCTACATCAGGTAGATTTACTGGAATTTTCATTCCCTTTCCTATATATATATATGAAATTGTACACAACTAGTTTTGGTCTTGCAGAGTAAAAAGCACCCAATACCAAATCTGGCTCATTTTAGTAGTATGTAAATTTTCCACTGTAATCTATCTTTCCATAACAATAGACTTTTGATGATATGTGAGGAAATATACACAGCTTAAAAACTGCTCCTATACAATTGTAGTAATTCATCTATTTTGTGCAACTTGCTGGTTTTACTGTTGCTACTAGAAAAATGTAAAAATAGTAGTAGTAAAAATATCTCTCTCTATTGTTTGACAGAAAATCAGTGTATTTATGATTGCATTATGTGAAAGTAAGACTGTAAAGTGGATTTTAAGATAGCACCCTTTGGAAGGAAAACTCCTTCTAATAAACAGATTTCTGCCAGTGTTGTTTATTTCCAAACATTCATCCAACTTCATTTACTCAGTCCAGAAGAACTGCTACTTACATTATTTATAAATTCTTCCACATACTTATTTTGTTTCTTCAGAAATAAGATTTATCATCTTATCTGATTGAAATAGATTCAATATCTATAAATTCAATCTTGTAATTATTATTTGGATCCGAGATCAGAAGTTTAACACCGTAATTTTCTCTAAAAAGAAACTGTTGTCTTTGACAAGTGCTAGTTGCAGACTAATCTGACACACTTGTAGTATCAGAAGGAAAATTAGTACTTGCCTCATCAATATCTGTATCACTTTTGAAATCTGAAGAGAATTCCAACGAATCAGAAGATAATTCCTCTAGCATTTTCAATTCATCTTCTTCCAATTGTCTCTTGTCATATCCACTTATAATCGTTGAATATAACAAAAATTTGCACACAGAACGAAATATTGAAATAATGCAAAAGAAAAGTTCCACTCCATTTGAAAAAGAAGAAGTGAAGAAATTCAATGTACAAAGCATTTAAACCAACTATAACAAAATAAACATAAGAATAAATACATTAGCAAAGCCTGTCAAATACATCTGGAACATTTTCTGTAAGTTGACCTATTTCACAAACAAGAAAACTTCCAAAACTCTAAAGGATTATCTTTCTTTTAGAAGTTAAATATCAATTTTATATTGATCTAATCGATATTTCACCATAATTTTGAACCTTACATACAGAAGAAAATGACATTCACTTTGAAAACAAATAAGGCATAGGAAAATACAATTTATAAATAATAGCTTATAAAATCAATTATTATAGTCAATTGTTGTAATAATTGTCAAAATAATATGTCGTAAGGTAATAAGTAGTGTCTTTGTCTACTATACATTACATAAACAGATAGTAACTTGAACTAGAATTCTGGGAATAAGACACCCCACCATGTAACATATAGAGTACAGGAGAGACATGTAAACAAAATAACCTGTAGTTTAAACAATTACTGGCCTCAGCTGAAACTGTGCATAGGAAAAGCCTGATGTAGTCAAAGTGAAAGAAGCACCAAAAAAGCAAACCAAGATATAGAAAATATGATCACAATGTGGATGCAGAATATCAATAATCTTTGTTGGAGTAAAGGTATATGTTTCATCCAATTAATTAAGAAGAGAGACTATCAATCAGGTATCAAAAGATCTTCATATAAGGCATTGTTCAGCTGCAAAATAAAGGTTGGTTTGAAAACTTCATCTTTGCCACAAAAAATGTTGAATATCACACAAAAGTTTCTATTAATGTTGAACAGAACAATGATTATAAAGAGAAAGTGAATAACATGACTTGAAATAAACAAAATCAGCAGTTTGAAAGCATAATTCATTATGCTGTCTTGGTCTTCCTTTGTTTCCACAATGTTTATATTGGATGTTATCAATGACTGTAGTAAAGAACAATGCACCAACAACCCAAACAATGTGCTAGATGTGGTGGCTTATCAAATTTGCCAGCATACCTGATGCTGGGTTAAAAGAATTTCATTGTATTAGCAAAAGCATAAAAATGAAGTCATTCTGCTATTTATTATAAATAATTTTTGATTTTATGCAATTGTGAGTACTAATTACTAATTATTACTTATACAGTAGATCCCCCTATAAAACCGTTTCCTATAGTTATGATTCCTATAAAAATTGTGGCATTATCCGTAAACAACGGTAAAAATAACTCCTATAATACGTAAAACGTCATCGGGCAGCCGAACTACTTACCCGCCGTCCGTAGCGCCACGCTACGGAGAGATTTCTATCGTCTGGACAGTATTATATAAATTATATATAAATTAGGTACTGTACATATAATTATATATTAATTATATATAAATTAGGTACTGTATATATAATTATATATTAACTTAATTTATTGTAACTTTATTATAATTAAATATATATTTTTCGCCGTCTAGCGTCACGCTACGGCGAGTTAGGCGACCTATCGTCTGTTTAGTACTGTAATTTTATACATTTCTTGTGAAAGAAACATTTCTTATTTAACGGCCATAAAAATTATTTATATTAATGATGTCTCCAAAGGTCAACGAAGTTTTCGCAGAAAAATAATATCAGAAATCGCGGCCGCAATTTGATGCGCTGTTCCGCGACGAAACCAAGCTTTAGCAACGAGCGTAGTCAAAGGGTACACACTCGGTAAGTAATCCTACAATTTTTTGTTTATAACGTAGTTTATACGGATTATTTTAAAAAAAATATACGTATTTTGGAAATGTTGAGTCGAATTAGTCTAGAATCGATTAATTTTATGAAAGAAAACCTTTCAAACAGCCGTAGTCCGTAAACTATGATTCCTACAAAATTGATTCATAAAGAACGGAACGTATCTACCGTCTTATAGGGGGATCTACTGTACTTACTTTATTATTTAATTATTACAAGTCAAAAAATTAAGAAATCTTTGAATACTTATGCTATTTACAAAATATTAAAATAATTGTAAAAATCTATGTAACTTATTCAAATCGCTGATTAAATAATTATTTTTCTGTGCAATAAAACACATTTTCACATTTCTGAGAATAATAAAGATTTAGAAAATTAAGATTTCAAATTTTATACAGTTAAAGTAACATTCATTCATTAATAATGATTCAAATTTGAAGATCTTATAATTTTATATAGTTTAAAAAAAAATGTAAAATATGTTTAATATAGAAATCTTACCCATTGGTGGAACAGCATATGGTGGAGGCATCATTGGTGGAACAGGAGGCATGCCAGGCATTGGCATTGGAGGTCCAGGTGGTGGAAATGACATTTCTGAAAAATATATATATATGTTATAGTTTTACACAGAAATAACATTGTAAAGTAATAAGTTAGGAAAAAAACAAATCACAAAAAATTTTTTAACATTGACTTTTTCAATTTAATTTTTATTTACTGGATAGTGTGTATCTAATCCAAAATTATGAAATTAATTAACACTGATTTATGATATAATTTTTATATACAAATTACAATATTAATAATTATTATACAGAAATTGATTTCCAAGAAAAAGTCAATATTTAAAATTAATCTGATCAACCCGTGAATAATGAAACAAAGGATTTCTTATTTTGAATTTTGTTAATCATTTAAATATTTTTGTCATTTCACTACCTCCACCTTTATTAAAAATATAACAATATATAATGGGCAAGTAAAGTAACTCTTAACATTATATCTATATATATATTTTATAAAACTAAAAAACAATTAAATAAAGTAAACTATTTAATGTAGATGTTTAATTATAATTATTTTATCAATTCAATTTTAAATAAAATAAATGAATATTAGATGAAAACGATTAATACTCGTCATTAAGATTCCAAATTTTATTTGTATTTATTAATAAATTAAAAACATATCAAAATGTACTAATATACAAATAGATAATTAAATGCAATTTAATAAAATAAATTAGAATAAAGTGAATCAAGCAAATAAAATATTTCTTTAATTGAACATACTAATAAAATGAAAATCATGCAATGCACAATAATATAAACATCATGATTCAGCAAGTCAAAACTTTTTTCAAAGGTTAATATTACAAAATTCACTTATTAATACAATTACAAAAACAAAAGCGTTTAACAAATACCATTTTTTTTAAAATTAATTTCAAAACCTTGATAATAAATGATACAAAAGGAAGAGAGAGATGGCTAAAATACTTATTGTAATGCAATATTATGAGAGAATTTTAAAAATGCTCTTTATCACTTTATAATAATGGTGATAATCTCATCAGCATTTCAGGAACTTTTTGCTCATGTGACCTAATATATTTGTAATAGTTCCACGACCCAAATGCTTATAATAATAAAAAATTTTTAAAAAACCTGGTAAACTGGAGTCACTGTTTATTATATAATGAAATGAAATTATGCATTCTTGATAACTTCTGTGTGTGAAACGTAATATTGAATATATTTCTATTAAGAATGATTAAGGCCAATTTCGATTTGTAACAAATAACTTACTTCAATTTCAGTTTTTATTACTGAAATTTGAGTATTAAAAAATGTAAGACTAACAATTGTAAATAAAACACACTATTTCAAAATTACTACTTTACTTTTATAAAAAAAACTTGTAATATTTTTCAACTTAATAAACCCTTTTTTAAAATGTACTTTTCAGATTGTATGATGATTTTGTCAATTTCATTTTGTACTGTACATACACAAAAAAAATCTGTAAAAATTATTGATCCACTAGTGCCAAAATTCATCCGTTACTTATTTTTAATTTATTGTTATTTATGACAATAACCTAAAAGTTTGAACAAACAAGGATATATTTTCAAAACCATTGCAACTTAAATGGTATTATAACTATGACCTTATATAAAATATCTATTTTGATGTTATTCAAAATTGAAAAGAGAAATCAATTTCATAAACACACATTCTATAATCTTAAGTTTATTACTAAATGACAATAATAATTATAAGAAAAAAGTTGTTAAAAATTTTCAATACTTAACAGATGCATCTATTGTTCCTACTTCTTAGAGAATACTTCAGTATTACAGGTATCATTTTGTAACCCATAATTTATAATGTTTACATCAGCATTTCTAAATGTTGACATTAGCCAAGAATAAAAAATCAAATGTTGTGTTTTACTAAATAACTGAGAATTTTTCATTTTCCAATATCTGATTTATATATAAAAAGAAATCTTACAAAATTAACATTTACTTTTGAATTTCTTTTTCTTTTCTTCTTTCTCATTCTAACTCTCTTTAAGGCTAATGATTATTATAATAATAACCAAAATAGAATATAATGTCAATCATTATTAATTAGATCTCTATAGAAAAAATTTGGCAATTTACATAGATTGGTTAGTAAAAGCATTTTATATATTTATGATATAGTTGTTGGAATCTTGTATAAGCTTTTATGGTAATATTGTCATTATTTTTTTTTTAATTCTTTAAGACCTTTGGGATGGGAATAACATACTACTAGCTAATTCAATAAAAAAAATTTCATACTGATATAGCTATCATTTATTAATTTCATTACCATAAATTCACATCTAATCAATCATGGGCAATAGGTGAGGCATCACTGTTGAATGTAATTTTTATTGGAAAAGTTTCACTTAATTGTTCACCAGTGATTAAGTGAACAATGGGCAATTAAATGAAAATTTCATCCATTCTAATCATGTCTCTGTTACAGAATAGCAAAATAGATACTTGATCATGATAGATGTTTTCCACTAAATATTCCATCCAATAGTAGATGAGGTTAAAATTACCAACAATTTCTAATTTTTCCAAAATGTTCATCTCTATATTATTATTATTATTTTTTAAATTTTATTATAATATTCTCTTCATGACCAACTGTATAAAAACATATTTTTCCCCCATAAGCTCAATAAGGTTTTCATTGCCAGCTGACATAACTTTGAACAGAAAACATTTCCTATTGACTGTTGTTTGATAATGTCTATCTGTAAGCATGATTTTGATGTCTGTACAAATCCTTTTCATTGAATGAAATTGTATAGTGGAAACTAGCCTTTATGGTACTATAGTATTAAAAGAAAAATGTTTCACTTAATCACCCTTGGGCATTTAAGCCCACAATGGACAATTGAGCAAGTCTCTACACAAGTGATTAAGTAAGAATTTATGGTATCTTACTAACTACTTAATAAACAACCAACTTATCAATAGTTAACATTAATTAACCGTATGTTCTAAACTACACTGTAACTTTACTTCAACAAACATTATATATCTTCTCAATCTTATTTGATATGACAATGAGAATCAATAATAGTAATAGTTCTCACTAAATGCAATAATAGCTATTATAGGAATATAAAATGAAATATTTCAAATTTATTAAGAGCTAAAGATGACTAAATCAGGATTATAAATCAACATCAATCAAATTTCTGAAAGTTGTGAATATTGATGTACAGTAAATGATACTATATCATCCAGCAACACATTAGCTTTCGAAGAACTCCAATGATTTTTCATGTTTATATAACACCTGATGATAGTCGGTTAAATTGACATTAATACAACATTAATATTTGTGTTATTTTATGAAATATAGTGAAAGATCAAAAAGTCGTGTCAGTTTACTATTTGTTTCCAGTTCTGAGTCTGTATTTATACTATATTGTTTAACTATTTTATAATGTTATATGGTCTTTTAAAAATGCATATTTATCCTGCTTTCTTTTGTGTAAAATCATCATCAATATTGTCAATGATGTTCTCTAAATTTCACTCAATCAAATCCAAGGAAAAAAAGGTAATAAATTGAAAACACTAGTGATATGTGATTTAAATCCAAGCTTGATTCAATCAATTAATAAAACTCTTCAAATATAAAGGGTCTAGAGTCAGAACTACATAAGTAATCTTATTGACTTCATTGGATATCAACAATATTAGCTTTTAAAATTCAGGCCAGTAAATCATATTTACTATTGGATTTAAACAGTGTCATTATAGTATTACGAAATATAACAAATGTTTAAACAAGTATTTTCAGAAAGTTTTAACCAATCATAGGCTGTGTTTTCAAAGGGAGTGGAAAAAATAAAAACGTGGACTTACATAGTTCTGGCTCTAGGTTCTTCATTTATAGCTGAAACATTCCAACTTAAAATATTGGTATGAGAAAATTTATACTACATTCGCACACAATCCACAACTCACTTCGATCTCGATTTACCTACAATCTGGATTGTGACTGTCCCCTGTCAAACATCGTGCTGTTCACACAGGCAGTCTGCTGAGAAGAACCCGGCTATTACGCGCAATGATAAAATTGAAATAACTACACGATAAGTCACAAACACCAACAAACGAAATTGAAGTTTTGGTTAGAAATAAATATTTTTTCTTGCCATACATCTAATAATAGACAGATGTCATCGTCTCTCCAGATGTCTTTTTTATTTCTGTTGATAGCCGGACACGTGTTCCGCAGCCAGCTTGTATTTTCTCACGCACGTGGGATTGTGGGATCTCTCTTATGACTGGATCTAGTTTCAAGAACTCTCTTCAGTCAATTGCAATAGAACCTTGTTTCAGTCAAGATTGAAATGGTTGAGAGAGGTTGCACCACGGCATAGTTGACGACCTTGGTCACAATCTAGATCGAAATGCTCGATGTGAACAGGTTATTACACAGTTCTGGATTTAGATTTGTTGACATGCACAAGCAGGCAATGAGCTATTTGGCAATTTTGTCCATTATGGAAAAAACTGACTTAAATGGAACTGGCCAATATGGCTAAGTATGGCATATTCAACACTTCAAAACAAGAATTGTTTCCATGTGGAATCCATAAAAGCTTGAAATGATTTGAATCTGAATTCTTTCTTACATTGGTGATTATCTCATTGAGCAGCCTTTTAATCAATTTATTGAACTCCTAAATTTATGTGCATAAATATCTTTCCAACACCAAACGATCGCCTAATTTATCGAGCTATAATATGGCTATTTTTAAATGATTGGAACTAAGTAATTTGACATTAGAGGTAGGCGTTAGGCGCCATCTCTTAATTAAATTAATAATTAAATAAATAATAATTAAATAAATAAATTTAGAACATTCTGGAATAAAAGAACTGGCCTGGGACGGGGCTTGAACCCGCAACCTCCGCTTGCCGTGCGGTGCGCTTGCCAGTTACGCCACCCGGACCCCAAGCGAGTCTTCGCTTCCAGAAGTATATTAGATTTAGATATAACCTTATTAGCCCGATAAATTAGGCGATC